CGGCAGTTCTGTGGGCGGAAATGCCTTGTTGATGCCAGAGGTCAGAGGAGAATGGCCAGACTGGTTCGAGCTGATAGAAGGGCAACAGTGACTGAAATAACCACTCGTTACAACCGAGGTATGCAGCAAAGCATTTGTGAAGCCACAACACGCACAACCTTGAGGCGGATGGGCTACAACAGCAGAAGACTCCACCGGGTACCACTCATCTCCACTACAAATAGGAAAAAGAGGCTACAATTTGCAAGAGCTCACCAAAATTGAACAGTTGAAGACTGGAAAAATGTTGCCTGGTCTGATGAGTCTCGATTTCTGTTGAGACATTCAGATGTTAGAGTCAGAATTTGGCGTAAACAGAATGAGAACATGGAACCATCATGCCTTGTTACCACTGTGCAGGCTGGTGGTGGTGGTGTAATGGTGTGGGGGATGTTTTCCTGGCACACTTTAGGCCCCTTAGTGCCAATTGGGCATCGTTTAAATGCCACGGCCTACCTGAGCATTGTTTCTGACCATGTCCATCCCTTTATGGCCACCATGTACCCATCCTCTGATGGCTACTTCCACCATGTCACAAAGCTCTAATCATTTCAAATTGGTTTCTTGAACATGACAATGAGTTCACTGTACTAAAATGGCCTCCACAGTCACCAGATCTCAACCCAATAGAGCATCTTTGGGATGTGGTGGAACGGGAGATTCGCATCATGGATGTGCAGCCGACAAATCTGCGGCAACTGTGTGATGCCATCATGTCAATATGGACCAAACTCCCTGAGGAATGCTTCCAGCACCTTGTTGAATCTATGCCACGAAGAATTGAGGCAGTTCTGAAGGCAAAAGGGGGTCCAACCCGTTACTAGCATGGGGTACCTAATAAAGTGGCCGGTGAGTGTATATCGGCGCAATGTATGCTTTCAATCCGTGTTATTTGCTATAGTGGAACTATTTTTTCAGATACCTCACAACCGCGTATAAACTTCCGCTGGATATTTGAGTCTGAAGCGTTAGACACTCCCGACCACTTGATGGCGACAACCACTTTGCCGCAGTTGCTCAGCTCACGCTAGCCTTCTGAGAGACGGAGAACTGAGCGAAAAGACTACAACCAAATGTAAACAGACACCTCTTTCCGTTTCCGGTAGCGCAGTAATATCAACGAGCACTGAGTCCTCCAGCAGACATCAATGCGCTTTTAAAAAATGGGAAATAAAACACGACAGAAACTGTATTTCGCTACGCTACTTGTTTTGGAACATCAACGAACAGCACTAACCACTCGGTGAGTTGCACAGTTTTGAAAACGAACGTTAAGGGTTGTTTTAAGGACAGTTTGAGTATGCCCATAGACATCCACTCTGAAGCGGTCAGAGGCGATTCTAAAATAGTCAAAAAGTCGAGACAGGACCCATCGTCAACATTTCTAAGTCCACCACTCTAGTTCATCCAAAACAAACTAGAAAATAGACTCAAAGTGTTAAAAACCGGAATTATCCTTTAATGTGAATCTAATTACATTAACATTTAATTATATTAGCCTACATGTCCGAACTGTGGTGCTAAAGGTTAATACTTATCATGTTTGAATATAACATACCACCTATAATAAATCCTACCATAAACAAAGCAAACATGAGATAAAAACGCATTTGCTAGAGCAACTACGCCATTTTAGCTTGCTTCTACAATTTTTTTTTTAATCATCACTCATGTTTTACAGGTTTTGTACCTGCTGTGCCAGGTGAGCTACCAAGCAAGTTTATAATACCAGAAATACCATAAAAATTGAGCTGGTATGTAATGCCAACATCAAAATGTATTAGTTTACAAATCATGCAAAGTGTTTGAGGTCATAACATAGTATTGTGCAATGAAATGCGCAAAAATAAGTGTATTAACTGATAATCTTCCCCTATGATTTGTGTGAAAAATTATAAAAGTTGTTGGTATTTTACTGCCCATTGGGGTAAAAACTACAGTGAATTGTATAGGTACAAAAATGTAGATAGAGGCACGTATTTCCAATAAGCCGTTAAATGTTGGTTATATTGCCTCGATGCATTTTAAAACTTATCGTAGAGGCCCATGATTTCTATGATAAATATGTTTCAGATTTCCAACTCCTTCAATACCCCTACACCCCTGAGCATATTAAAGCTGATTGTTTTTAAGTCAAGGTCAAAGGTCATAGTCCATCCATCACAATCGAGTGGAATATTCACCATTGGCAGAAACATCAGGAGGCTGACACAATAAAGCTTAACTTCTCAGTCATGTATCTGTCTTTTCAGTCCCAGCATAACAACAGCCCCTGTGCCCTCTGCAATATTTAACAGGAGGGGCGCTTGCTTTTTCACGACAAGCCCCAGCCTCCAGAGAAAACTTACTGGAGATTATTCTCGTTGACAGCTCGCATTAGCAGATCAAAGGCAAACAGTTGGGCTACATTACTATTCCTTCTAATGTCTTCAGTCAGAGCAATCATTTGGCACACCTTTAACATTTAATGCACGTAGGAGGCAGCCCACTATCACCCACTCAGAGCTACAGCCCTTCATAACCACTGCAGAGACAAGAAACAAGCTCTTACATGACTAAAGTTTGATTCAGTTTCAAAGAAAAAGTTGATCCTTAAAAGTTAAGTGCATAGTTTCTTCAAACCATCTGTTCGTCTAAACCAGGGGTTCTCAACTCAGGCCCTCAAGGTCCACTTTTCTGCAGAGACCTTTATCAAACTCACCTGCCTGGTAACTTTCTAGTAATCCTGAAGACCTTAACTGTGTTCGAAATCGCCCTCCTATACTCTCATTCACTATTCACTACATTACTCCACTAATATAGTCCACTTGAAGGAGTGAATGAAAATGAGTGAGCGAATTCAGACACTGAGTGTGCCGGAAGGGCTGCCACTTTTGCATAGTTTGTGCTTGCAAACTGGCAGCGCCAGTAGCAATGAAAATATTTATCTTGAACTCTGTCATGGATACTACTAGCATGCATAAATATTAATTATAAATGAACCTTAATATATCTGTATGATATTACACTGCACCCACATTGGACCTAGCCTGGTTAAAACCAGACCATTCTCAGTTGTAACTGAGTTATTGTCTGGCAAAGCGTCATAGACAAATCATTTCCAGAGGGGCGTCACCAACGGACGTCGCGGATAGACCTAAAACCAATCAGAGCGATGAAGGAGATGACGTATGCAGAGCGGCAGAAACATCTCCGAGTGTTGTTCTTTGCTCGGTTTTTAACAAAAAGGAAACGTCCAAATCGCTTAAAACAGACGCGATAGCTGATTCGAATGAGTGATGTTCGACGGCGGCATCCATCTTTGTAATGTAGGCTACAAAATCTGCTTCAAAATCCCAGCGCTGTCGTCATCGTGTAAAGCCCGCCCCAACGTTTCTGATTGGTGCCTCGATTTCGACGGATTGGAAATGGGCTTGAATGAGCTCTTTGCCAGACTAACTTTCAGAGCAAATCTAAATTTGCTGGAAGTTGTCTGGGTTTTCCCAAGGTAACACTGGACCAGCAGTTTGGAAAATGGTTGGATGAACGGGGGAATTGATTCGGCACAACCTTAACAGTGCATTATCGGTATTCTCTAACTGTTGAGTGTTCTCTAACGAGTGTACACTTGTTATTGTGGTGGATTATGGGATTAAATGAGTGCACTCGATAACGTCCACAATGGTTTCAGACTACAAATGGCTGTCCCCTCAAATAGTGCCCTATAAGGGGCGATTTTGGACACAGCCCTTGATTAGCTTGTTCAGGTGTGTTTGATTAGGTTTAGAGTTTTTGATTCGATTAAAACGAACACTGGTGCAATTGCTCTGTTAGTGCGGTTCATTTGAATAAGTGGAACGCTGCCATCCGAACCCTGGTGCGCACTAAACAAGTGGACTGAGGCCGCTGAAAAGAAGGTTCTTGGTCCGCTTGCAAACGAACTCTGGTGTGAATGAATGAATGTTTTTTCTCATCATAGTCGCGATGTTGCCCATCACAGTGCGGTACAGGCATCAGTACCTCAGCTCCTCGCAGCAGATCATTTGTGTATGACAAAGGGATTTCTGAGTCTTTTACACATTTTATAAGCTCTTCGTGAGTTGTCAGCTTCATCATATATACGCACATACAGCAAGCACACAGCATTGTTTTGGATGCTGGACAAGTTCCGTCATAAAATATACATCATAAAAGCCGTTTTTTGTATCTTTAGGTTCTGTGTCACAATATGACAGTATAAATGCTAAGCGAATCTGGACTAAATGTATTATTTTATTTTACTTGTTTAGGACCAAAAGAACCAAGAGAACCAAATTAAAGTGTGAGAACACCATTAAACAGTGCAGGAAAGTAAACCAGAGTTGAGAATATCGGTTCTAAATAATGGCAGATGGGGGTAGTGTTTATGAAAACAATATTTTCTGCAAGACTTTGGTGATCTCGGTCACGAAGCAATTACAAACTTCACATTTAATATAAGAAAAGCAAAAATTACTCCATATTCCTTTATATAATTCAAAAAGGGAAGTAAGAACTGTCTAATGTTAAAGTGATGATGGATTGTACTGTGCAGTATGTCCAGTACACAGTACAAAACCAATGTCCCCAAAACTAGTTTTTTTTTCTTTCTATAGTTTAATCTGTGAGAGCCATCCTATCAATGGGCCATCCCTGGAGGAAATAGCGTATTTATGAAACAAAATGAACAATTCAAAAGCAAATGCCATTGAGAAGCTAAAATACAATGATGCAAATGTGAGATCTTTCTAAATCTAGGCATGACAAACTGCATCAACTGTAACATCAGTGAGAGTTTGCTGGAGATTTGAGCTGTCATGGGTGATAAATGTCTCCTATCTAGGACAGGGCCATGTAAATGGAGCACAGATGATGGTACAGGCTGGGCCACGGTTCTCAGGGATGTCTGTGTTTTGGTGTGTGAGTGGGTGGACAGACCTGTGGCCTACAGGCATGCAACTCACCCAAGTTCCATTTAAGCCCAGAAGTGGTGGTAAGACAAGGGCAGCCCACAGGAACCAGGCTACACCATTTCCCCTCCAAGCCGGTGTTCACATTCAGTCGGTGTTGTTTGCCCTGTTAAGTGTGAGAAAAAGAGCAGGAGAAGGTCACAGAATGCGGGTGAAACTCTGTTTGAAAACCTAGTGAGCTGCTCCCATAAATGGTGGATGAGTTGAGAGAAATTATGAATGCAATTTTTAAATGTATAATTTTAATGAATTTAATTTATTTAAAAAAAAACAGTAACAATAGTTTAAATATGATTTGAGTAGTATTTGAGTGGGCTATATTTTGTATGATGTCAATATATAAATCACTCACTTAAATATTAAGCAAAAAAAAAAAAATGCTGAGACTTTTCTCAAAACATCCTCATACGGTGTATATATGCAATGGAACAAGGTTACCAACATTCTTCAAAACATCCTTTCTTGTGTTCCACAGAAGAAAGAAAGTCATACAAGTTTGGAACGACATGAGGGTGAGACGTGAGTAGATGATGGCACAATATTACATTTTGGGTGAACTACAAAAATTTGTCATCTTCACACAAAGTTATATGACTTGATAACATTTGGAATATAGTATGCTAGTCTACAGTATGTGTCCTTTTTAAATCTTGAAAGCTCCTGTATCGCAATCATTGTACCTGAATGGAATAAAAGTGTGACCGGTACATTCTTTAAAAGTCCAACAAATAGTTCAGCACAAAACTAGCACTCACCATCTTAAACAGTCTTGACTAGCTGGTAGATTTAGCATTATTAGTGTAATCTCATCTGATAAGAATGCCAAGAGAGACGTCAAATGCTAAGATATGATCCGCCACTGCAGACCAGAAGAGAGAAATCAACGTTCTCACATGCAGAGGCACTGACAACCTTCCATTTGCAATGCGGTTCTCAGCTCTCATTTAGAAACGTCAGTCTAGTTCAATATTGTGATAATTTCAATTATCACATTTATAAAGTGGAGTGTTGTCTATATACGCACAGACTTAAAAGTAAGATGAATGATGAAGCTTCCAAAATAAGTCATAATTACCACCTACTGCATTTGACAAGTTAGATGCTATATATAAATGCAGATGTTTTATTTTAATCTTAAAGTGAGTTGTACAAACTTCAAAGTTTGACTATTCAAAACTAATTCTGATCCGTCTCTGAAAAGCCAAGAATAGCAGCAAATGAATTCTGCACAGAACTGAATTCATATTTTATAAGTCTGCTTTATGTCGGATTGAAATAGTCAAGGACATTTTTATACAGACTGAGATGCATTCATTTAAATTTCTGGCCCATTACAATATTCAGAGTCTCACAATCATCTCAATGTCTTATATTCTCTTTGAGCTTGATTAAATGTTCTCATACAGAAATGTAAAGTAATGCAGCTAGAGCAATTCTGTAAGGTTTTGTTATTAGTCGAACAAGATTACAATGTCTTACAAACTTAAAAACAAGGGCTTTGTATGTGTTATTGTGCAAATATGAGTTGGTCTTTGTATTACCATCTCTAAAACATCATAAAATACAAATATGCATCTCTCACATGCTTGTATTTGTTATATTCGGGTATAGTTCTGTTCTATGAAAATGTTGACAACGCATAAAGCAACATCGTTCGTATTTTTAGCCGTAATTCAGATCAGATCAAAAGTGCACAAACAGAAAACAACAGAAAAGAGGCAGCAAAGTGTCTCTGCAGTTGTTAATTGCTTAATATCACGATTGATCATTAAGTGCCGCAATCAGGATGTCAAAAGCGCACAAGTGAAAACACTGATTAGAACATGCTAATGAGAGAGAGAAGTGTTTACCTCTCGGAGAAGGAAGGCCAGAGAACGGTCTTGTATAACCACCACAGGCAAATCCGTCATCTTTTGGGCATGAAACAAGGTCTCCACTGTGGCCATGATCTGGTCGAAGCGGCCTCCAAGACCACCCAGTGTTACGATGGTGTCTATCTGCAAACAGATGAGTGATGAGTAAACAAATAAATAAATTAACCAATGAACAATCAAATGAACAGATGAATGAGTGATGCTCTTAAAGTGCTATTGCACAAACAACTGAATGAAACAACAACTGAACAAATGAATGATTGTGGGAGCAAAGCATTAGATTTTTTTGTCATGCAACTTCAGGATAGTTTTTCTTAAAATGCTATCGCACAAACAAAAGAATGAATTAATGAAAGACAAACAAATCAGCGATTGTAGGAGTAAAGCTGTGGATTATGATTTATGTAACTCCAGAATAAAATTTCTTAAACAAATGAACAAACAACGGAACAAAGAAACAAACAATGAATCAACAAACAAATTAATGAACCAAAAATTGAATGAATGAATCAACAAATGAATGAATAAACGAACAAACAAACGATTGAATGAATGGGTGAACAAATCAATCAATAAAAAATTGTTTTAAAAGTGCTCTTGCACTAACAAATGAAAAAAACAAACAATTTAATGAATGGACAAAGAAATCAGCGATTGTGAGAGCAAAGCAATGGATAAAGGTTATTTATGCCAGCCCAGTTTTTAAAGTGCTGCTGCACCAACTAGTGAACGAACAAACAAACAAATGAATGAAAAAACGTACAAACGAATGAATGTTTGTGTGACAGATTCTGCAAGTCGAGGATAAATGTTCTGAAAGCGCTGTTGCAAATTTGCACCGTAGCTTTTTCCTTCCCACGGCAGCCAAAAATGATGTGCGTCTTCACTAAACAACAGAGTCATACATTATGGAAAGTATTCCGAGGGAACAGTGTGGACTGGAAAGCGTTGACTTGGCAGAATGTCTTTGATATTTGCTCCCGGGATCGTTTGTCTGACTGCTGCAATGTACCTATCACCCTGTGAGATACAACAACTCTACGAGACAAAAAACTCTTTAAAATGCACAGTGGGTAATCAACACTTCACTGCCAGCCCCCACTGGCTCGTTTAAATAGTGGGACTTATGAGACATCTGACACATAAATTGTTCAAGTTACAGTGCCTCTGTAATTATGTGGACTGATTGCAAAACTTTTTTTTAAAGCGAAGCAGAAATGATGATATGTTCGCAACTTGTACTTGGAGTCTGAGGTCAAAGTATGCCTTTCCATTCCCTGCAATATCTAATACGGCAATCCAAACTTTTCTCATGATGACAGCACAAACGTTGGGTTATAACCAAGCACAAATCAGAGACACCCAGATGAAAAGTCTCACCGAGCCATTTTTGTAATTACTGGCATAACATCTGGTCCACTTTGCAACTTATTCTGTCCAAAGAACTGCTCAATTAGACAAGATGAACTTGTAAAACAATCAACCACAGCATGGTCTTGCTTTTTTTGGTGTGCAACATGCATCAAACAGTACATTAATGTCGGTGGGCGCTCTGTTGTTGTGTCATCTTAGGCTGAGACACCCAGATTGGGGTCAACACTTTAAAACAAGCAGATAAATAAATATTTCAAGCTGTAGTTATGTTTTAGACAATGAAAGACTGACAGAGAATCGCTAAGCTTAGTCACTTCTAAAAGTGTTACTTGTCTTCCGTGAGAGCTTGAAGACACAAAAGGTAGCGCTGAGATACAGAGGTGAATATAAACACAATAGGAAAAGCTAGAAGGCCATAGTATGCATGTAGATTGAGCTTGAGGCTCGCATATTGGTAAAACTCTGGAGCGTCTGTGACGGTGATGGGCATCTCTGTGAGGACCAACAGACAGTCTGACAAGCCTGGAGCTCAGACTGGGGTTTAGAGGAGGAGCAGACAGACAGACACACACACAGACACACACAATATCCATACAAAACCTCTCTGACAGCTCCTGGAGGATGTGAATTCACACTGAAGCTGAGGTGTGAGCTCACCTTTTATGTTTGACAGGTAAAAAAGGAAGTGAAAATGTACACCGCTGTTCTTCCAACTCAGTTTTCACAATGAATTTGAGTGTCCACTTTTCGTTTCATTGTAATGCACTCATCTCAAAACTTATATTTTGTGTTTTAGTACACATACTCCCTGCACCCCAGCTTGGCAGGCCAACACACTTTGATATGGAATCACAGAGGGCCAGTTTAAACCTGGTAACATTAATTTCAAATGTTTTCTGTGACCATTTGATAATGGAATTTGTGCAGTAACCAAACAGTTGATGGGCCTCATTGACTTGCATAGTATGGAAAAAAACTATGGAAGTCAATGGGGCCCATCAACTGTTTGGTTGCAGACATTCTTTAAAATATCTTCTTTTGTGTTCAGCAGAAGAAAGAAATGCATACAGGTTTGGAACGACTTAAGGGTGAGTAAATGATGACAGAAATTCATTTTTGGGTGAACTATCCCTTTAAGCCCTACCTAAGCACTCTAAAGCTCATATAATTCCATTTAATATAAATTTAAACCTAAATATTTGTAATTATTATCTAAATATGTATAGTTATATTTCTAACCAGTAACATAGTCAAGTCAAGTCAAGTCATTTTATTTATATAGCACATTTAAACGAACCAAAGTTGACCCAAAGTGCTTTACACAGAGCAGGAAAGGCAAAAAACAATATGCCTTAAAATTACATACATAAGAACAGTAAAAAAAAAAAAAAAATGCAATTAACATACAATTAAATATCCTAAATCATTACATTCTGTTCACACTTAAGTACACTATATGCTTTTCTTTTCATAATGTGTAAAAAAGTATGCTAAAGTTCACTTCTTTTTCACAAGGGTTAACTAAACCAGATATGGATATTTTTTTCTTTCCATTTCGGATGTAATTTATTTTAAAGAATGTAACCGACAAAGTTTACTGGTGTTTTTTTTGTTGCACAATTTAGCCACAATTGATTGGCCGTTAAGTCGCGGTTCATTACGACAGATTTTATTATATTCTACAAATGCAAAGTGGTCACGTGTTTCTGAGGCGCAAATGGGGTCAAAAAGTTGGGGAGCGGGTCTGAAGCATAAGACAGAAACATCCAGACGGACAGACAGAGAGAGATGCAGCTGAGGAGAGATAGAGTCCAACCTGCAATTTCTGTGCTTTGATCTCCTCCACCATAATGGCCAAGCACTTAGTGAAGTCTGTCAGATCCTGGTCAGCCGTTTCCATTAGCTTGCAGTTCTGGAGCAAAATAAGTCAAATTGGAAGACAGTATGTGGATAGCTGACAAATATAAAACAGAATTTTGGAAAAAGTTTATATGAATGTGTTAAGTATGAATGCATAATTGGTCAATATCTTTTTTCACAAGTTTTACACACATTTTATATGCACACAGTCTAGTTATGTGTTAAGCACCAGATTCAGCAAAGGATTTATGCAAATCAAGAAACGGTGTAAACGGTAATAAACGTAATATTACTTGCAGCATGCAAATAGTATCTATAATGAGGCTAATTTACATCGACAGGAGGAAAAAAAACTCAAGGTGACTTTGTTTACATACTCTGCACATTTATTACCTCTTAAACATCATAGAAGGACGTTTGTGATAAAAAAAAAAACATGTTTGGGTTGAAATACTGTGTGAAAAAGTGACAACTATTTAGTGAAGTTATTCCTATTAAATCTTTTTACACTGTGTTGAAGACCACTACAAAATATTTTAATATTTCAGAATTTGATATGACCAACAAAATCAGATCAAGTATTTTGATAAAAATGGGGCTAAAGGGGAAAACAACAGCCTCTCTGATTGTAAAAAAAAAAAAAAAAAAAAAGTTTTGAAACTTTAAAGTTGATACACTACAGACTGCCCCCTGGCTTCTCGCTTTTTGTCTGATCGCGCTTTGTGTTTTGTAAATGGGATCTCTTGCTGTGCGAATTCTTTGAGTGTCAGGAAGGGCAGAGGCGAACGTTGCTCGTTTTCCAGTCTCAGTTCCCTCGAACGGCTGCATATACACGGCCGTCACAGGTGACTTCTCAAACACAGCAGGTACCACGAAAATCACGCATCTAAACGTCAGCCGTGGAGCTTGTTTCTGTTCCTTCCTTTATCCTCCACAGAGCATCACTCTAGTTTTTGTTCCATTTCAAACCCATTTAAATTCAAGCGTCATGGTCTGTCAAACTTCGGTTCCCCCAAAAGCCGCATACACCGGCTTAGGAATGACATAAAAATGCATGTATGCAGGATTATAACAATGCAAATAACCTCTGCTACTCATTACTTAGCAGATGGTTTTCATTCAAACTGACGTACAGTACACTAATTTCATAGACGGTCCCACAGGAGAAGAGTGCGGTTAAGTGCTTTGCTCAAGGGCACAGTGGAGGCCTCTCGGTAACACTTCACTTCACAGGTTCACCAGCTTTGTTAAGAGCTTTAGCCACTAGACTGATAGCACACCACACTGCACCTTTCCAGAATGACAGGAAGTCAGTGGTGTGAATCTGTGAAATCTACATGACTTGAGGAAGTGAGTGGCAGGGGGCCATAGCTGGAAAGGACACAATATGAATCTCAATCAGAAAGTGTTGTCAGCCCAACTTTGTGTGCCAGATAAATAATATTGGAAAAGAGCTTACATTAATATTTAACATATTTTTATATCAGTTTTGGAGAATTTATGGATATATTTATACCAGTGGCTCTCAAAGGGCTTTGCTTCAGGAAACAAGACCAAAATAGTTTGTCATACTGAAGTACAAAAAGTGCTTAAAATCAAACATTGAAATTCATTAATATTACGATGAACTTTATAGGCCAAATATTATGCATATTTATCAATATACAATAGGCTAAATCAGCATTTAGAAACCAGAATTGTTCATTTCCTCTTGAATTTCAATGGTTTCATGCTCTAGGCCAGTGATTTTGTGATTTCAGTGATTTCAAGGACCCCCCAAATATGATGCTATAATACTAAAATATAAAAGCAGCTATATATTTGAATGTACACTATGTACCATGTACAATACCCAATTATACTGCATGAAGTGTGTAAAATTAAAGGAAAACATGCTTCTAAAATGAAAGAACCACCTTATTCTCATTATACTGATGCATAAGCAAATTATTAAAACAATTTCTGGAAATATTACTAATTTCATTATAACTATTTTCATGACTTCCAAGAAGAGAAAGAATATATAATATATAAAAATAATATATACAATAATATAATAATTTAAAAAATTGTGTGAACAATTACTTACTTATTATATATTTTGTTAATATATTAATTTATCACATTAACGTTTGATAGCCAAAAATTGGCTTCTTCTTTTTTTTGACTGGAACAATCTTTAAAGCCAAGAACTAAAATTTGGGAAGTATTGCTATTCTAACTATGCTCAGTCAAATGGTTAATCATATGGTAGATTTTTAATACTGCATTGAGCATTTTAGCAACCATAATGTATTAGAATACCTCCTAATCATTTTGGGTTGTTCCACCATCTTCAACTATAACTATAATAATTTTGATATAGGAATAAACCTCAAAACAACTCGATAGATAGATAGATAGATAGTAAAGCATGTGCAAACATATGAAAATAAAAAGAAAGTTGTAAAAGAGACATCACGAGAGAGTCCCAGAGAGACTACGCTTACCTTTTCTGTGTAAAACGCTTTGACCTCTGGCAGGATTGAATCAAAGTCTCCATTTATGTAGTCTGGGAGAAAACTTGATGGGAAGAGAGAGAGAGAGAAAGAGAAACTGATGTGAGAGAGAGTGGGAGAAGAGGGTGATGGGTAAAAAGGCACAATTTGTGCAGCCATCGGATCCTTTATTCATGTGAAATGAAGGTGCGTCTCTGACACGGGCCATGGAAAGCTTCAGTGACAGGACCCCACTAGAGCCATTCAACGGCTGCCAGTCACAGCACTATCTGTCCCCAGACATGACAAAAGCGACACAGACAGCCTCTTGACACAGTGAGGGGTTGAGAGAGAATTGATGCACACTGCGCCGTTGCCGTATACCTCACCCCAAACTTTTGCAACATAGATTTACGATATATATGGAGGCAATGACAAGATTTTCTTCGCTCAGATGGGCAGAGTATTCATTTTGAGAAAGGCAGATCATGTCGCGGCTTCTTTCGTTTTATTCCCTGAGAGAAGAAAGGCAGCGTGGGTATAGGTAGGCATTAAAGCATAAAGACTCGATGTCACGATTTCACGGTCCGCCGGGCGGTGCATGTAGCCGCTGAATGAGCAGAGATGCGCTGCCGAGCTGGTTTAAGAATAACACGGCAGTGGATTACAGGAGCACTATCTTCATCTCACGGATGAATCTGAGGCCCGACGAGGAGAACACCGGCTGTGTTATAAACAGGTTGTGTGTGGATAAAGCAAGTACAATGATACTAAATTGACACTAAGCTTGCCAAGACAATCATTAGCTTTACTACTGCTTATGTTTTCAAATGAATTATTCATTTAGTCCTTTTAAACAACAAATAATAGGAAAATAAGAAATGCAATTCTGTTTTTAATGACTTTTTAAAAGTCTTTTAGAGGCAGCATAAATGGAATCCGATTCCTGGAATAAACTATATATTAAACAGCAATATAGGGCTGTGCATTATATTGCAAATGTACATATCACAACGGCTTGGAATAACTGGGGTCATGAACAAAAGACAAGAAGAAAATCACTTACTGCTCTTGACTGAATAACTTTTGTAGCTTTAATAAGAGTCAGTATATATTTAATTCATAGAGTGAACACTAAGCGGTTTAATTTTTTACATTTGATTACTCAGTTTCTGTTGTTAAATAAACCGCCTACCTGAAACCCGGTTTACACTGATGTCAAAATGACACTTACTTCTTATGTTACAATAAAACACTGCTGTTCACTTTCAGAAGTTGTAGGGATGCTTTCTTCTGACAAAAAGAATGTGAAACATGTATGTAGGTTATATAATTTTTTAAATAATTTAAGTTTATTCGCATTTCGAATATCACATTATTTAATCAGTTATCGCATATCGTATTTTTCTTCAATATCGTGCAGACCTACAACAAAACAAAACAAACATTTCACTGACAAAATCTATAATGTACATCTTTAACTAAATTAGTCAGTAATTAAACTGCTTTGTCTCTTAGTTAGTTGCAAACTTTATTAGTTTGATTCACTAAAAAGATCATATTCATTAGAGTCATTCTTTCAGCAATCGGACTACACTAGGTTGATTCACTAAACAGTGACTAACAAGCTTTTAAATAAACAAAACACTGTTTTATTGTAGCTTCATGCTTCCCTTTTTTTATAAACACTTGAATGTGGGTAAGTTTCATTAAAAAAGCAACATTTTAAGAAAATCACGTTTTTGTCCATTTGTCTGGATGGGATTCAGAACGACAATCAAAACATAGATGGAGTAAATCAACACAGCCAAAGCATTCACAGTCCTATAGCTCATCCTGGGTCGACATTTAATTCGGTAACATTAGGCAGTTTTGATTCATATGCTATTTAATGCTGATAATCACATTTAATTTACAATGCATATGATATTGCTTGTTTCTTCTTCTTCTTTGTCTGTGTTTTGATCAGGAGATTCAGCACTCTTTCAGAAGATGCCTAATAGCGCCCCCTACCACATAACGGTGAAAACACGGAAAGCCGCAAATTTCCATCATTGGCAGGGAAAGCATTGTCTCATAAATGATGGAAATTTCCATCGATGGCAGGGAAAGAGTTAATGGAACATTTTGTCAGTAACGGGGTCAAAATGTGAAAGCCATTAATGGAACCATTAAATATAAATCAAAAAGTGATCAAGCATATTATATCATCTTAAGAAGATTCAACGTGGTTGCAATTTGTGCACCTACTAATTGTATTATAAGCCCCAATTAATCTTTCTGCCAAAAAAGCTGGATCATCTAGAACACTTCTGGCTTTGACCAAGGGTTCAATGTGCAAGAAAAAGCAATTCAAAGCAATGAACAGGTTTAAAGTTTCCTGTTGTGTGCGCGCCAACAGTTAAACAGGAAACCATAAATAACCCTCAGCAGTGACAGTTCTGCGGCCACATTAAGGTGAAGCTAAATGAAACCTTTCCTTTTGACGTTTTATCAGCAAAACAGCTCTTCCCACAGCAGAGCTCAAATTGGAGGCAAAATACACCTCTTTTACATTCAAATTAAAGTGTCACTTAAAGTTAATCGCAACGCAGGGACTATACCTCGTTGGAAAAGAACTAGATTTGGACCGGCACAGAGAAAATTAGAATTAAGAATTGAAGTAATTCCAGAAGGTCAAGACCAACGCCAATGGGAGAACCTGAGATCAGACACCCTGTCGCATCAGATGCTTCTTTCATTTTGTCACAGCCCAAAGAGACAAGACAGGCAGACGAGATCACAGTTATCGGTCTGGCTTCCTTGTTGTTTTCTGGTTACGCACTCTAAAATAACATCAATGAGGATGTGGGGAGGTGAAAATTGGGCTCCCAAGTGACATTCAGGAACAAAACTACATGCAAATCCTTAAACGTCTTGTATTTTGTTGCAGCCTTTGTTTTTTAATAAGTGATGTGACTTTTCATCGACAGGGGAGCTTGGTATTGGCTTCGTTTGGCGTAGCACAAATTTCGCTCTATTTTTTAAGTCAATAAGCCCACTCAGGACTTAAATAACAGATCGCCTGCTTTATGCCTGGCAGTTTCACACACCTCTCAGAAGACCCCCTCAAGAGACCTCTTCAGCTGTTGCTTCATTACAGGCAGTCTGGTGGAATCATAAAGCCGCCCCTCCTGAGTGGATCATCTGAACAGACGATCAGCTTTTGATTATGCCTCAGAGTTCATTTTCGACTCCTTCATAATCAGTAAAGGTCACACAAGTTCTTTCGAATAACTACAGCCGCACAACAAGTACCGAGCTGAAATACTATACATTACTGTGTATCCATGGTGACATACATTGTTTCTGAATAAGCGTACTGAACTTCCCTGCTTCATATTATGCATACTAGTCACGATAATGAAGTCACAACTACTGGCTGAAGTGCCTGATCATTTAGTTCAACCTTAAAGTCCCCCTGTAGTCAAGCTTGAAAGTAACTCTACACCCTTGCACCATTTAGTATACGCGGTTCTATGGATATGCAAATGAACCCCGTCTCCACTCAATCACACCAGATTAGAGATCCACTCGTTGACCCAGATTGGTTTAGTTTGGTAGTTTGTCAGAAAGACCAGCGATTTCAAACCGCGTTTTTTAAGACTGTCTTTGGTTCACTGCAGTTTTAAAGAGAAAATACTCCTTAATGGTGCTGATTTATGAATTTGCACATGGTTTGTCTTAAAGCATATTAAAAACAACACATAGACATATAAACAACATTAAAAGCTTGATTTTCACCACAGGGGCACTGTAACAGATGGACATTTCATTGTTGGTTTTTGAAACTATTTCATTTCATATATGGTAGCCAATCATAACAACAGTAATTTACATCTAAGTCTTAAAGGAATGGCCAAAAAAACTGAAATACTTACATTATAAGTATATTAAAAGAGGAAAGAAAAAGGTTAAATGTAAAATGTCATTTATTCCTGTGATGGCAAGGCTGAATTTTCAGCAGCCTGCAGTGTCACATGATTCTTCAGATTAACATTTACCACAGCGATTAAAAGATTTGAAGCGATAGTTCCGCACCCTCAGATTGTTCTAAACCTGTATCAATTTCTTTCTTCTCCTGAACACAAAAGAGGATATTTTGAAGAATATGGGTAACCAAACAGTTGATAGACCCCATTGACTTCCATCCATACTATGGAAGTCAATGGGGTCCATCAACTGTTTGGTTACCCATATTCTTCAAAATATCTTCTTTTTAGGGCTGTCAAATGATTAATCACGATTAATCACATCCAAAATAAAAGTTTTTTTTTTACATAATATATGTGGGTGCACTGTGTATAATTATTTTGTATATATATAAATACACACACATGCATGTATATTTAAGAAAAAAATATTATTTATATATAAAATATTTATATTTATATATAATATAAATTATATATAAATCTATATACAGTATATACATGAAAATATTTCTTAAATATATACAAGCATGTGTGTGTATTTATATATATATAAAATAATTATACACAGTGCACCCACATATATTATGTAAAAAAAACTTTTATTTTGGATGTGATTAATCACGATTAATCATTTGACAGCCCTACTTCTTTTGTGTGAAAAATGAAAGAAATTCATTCAAGTTTGGAACAACTTTGGTGAGTAAATGATGACAGAATTTTTTTTTGGGTAAACTACCCCTTTAATGAAACTTTCAGATAGAAGCTCTCACTTGTCTGTTTCTGAGCTAAAGAAACAGTAGCGGTTTTAAGAGAAATTTATTTATGTTCCAATCTAACAGCTAATGAGCCATCTGAACATTGGGAGATTATCCAGAGAGCAATCACTGTTGATAATCCAGACACTTTGGGACTAGAAACCTGTTCCATAATAATGGCCGATACCATCTGCAAATGGGAGAATAAAGCATGGTATGTTTCATGAGATCCAAAGCAATAGTGTGTTCACTGCTTCAGTTCAAATAAAGCTGAGCTTTCTAAACTAATCAAAATGTACCAGGAAAGGTCAATGCAGTAATTACATTTAAGGCAGTGTGAGATAATAACAGGATAT